GAGAACTTTACGGAACCTTTTTCGATATTATGGTGTATCTGAGAAGATTGTAAAAATCCCACGGAATTTTTGAATTGCGAATTTCAGGATTGATGGTAGTTCACAAATGCATTCGGAATTAAGATTGATGCCAGGAGAAGCTGTTTACTGTCACCTTTCTTCTTTCTTCTGATTGTTGACTAGATTATGAGAACTCTCACGTCTTGAAGGAGAATGGAATACAGTGGACAGCTTTGACGCAGCTGGACCGTTTGAACTTCGAAGATAACTTACCTCTCCCATCATACACACAGCAAAGCATTCAGGTGAGGACGGCCAGTATAACGACAGCCTCTACAACAGTAGGCCTCAACGCACATAAGGAAGAAAGTAAGATCCTGAAACAGAACACGGGGAACATCAACCCAATCACACTTGATGGGGAAACTCTGGAAGAAGTGGAAGCTTTCACATACCCGAGAAGCATCATTGGTGAACAAGGAGGATCCGATGCAGATGTAAAGGCGAGGATTGGCAAAGCAAGGGCCTCATTCCTAAAATTCAGGAGCACATGGAACTCAAAACAACTGTCAAGCAATATCAAACTCAGAATCTTCAATGCGAACGTCAAGACAGTTCTATTGTATGGAGCTGAAACTTGGAGAACTACCACAACCATCATCAAAAAATTACAGGTAATTATATATAATTGTCTACTTAAGATACTCAATGTCTCCTGGTCGGATATCATCAGCAACAGCCCACTGTGAGAGAGAACAAACCAGCTTCCATCTGAGCAGGAGATTAGTAAAAGAAACTAGGGATAGATAAGCACACTTTAGAAAAATTACTACACGACATAGCAAGGTGATCCCTAACGTGATTTCTTCAAGGAAAAAGGAAGAGAGGCGAACGAAAGAATACTTGGTGCGGGGACGTAGAGGCAGATATTAGGGACTAGATAGAGGATCTCAGGACAAAGTTCGTTGGAGAATCCTGGTTGGTGGCCTGAGCCCCAGTAAGGACGACAGGATTAAGTTCGAACGTAAATTGTATCAATCCTAATATTTCAAGAAGCGGTCTTAACACTAATAGGAATAATAGTAGTTAAAGACAACTATGTGATATCAGTGAAAAACATTTTTATAGTGTATGTTATTTCGGCATATTCATATATATTCATATGGCATATACATACATGTCTATCTAAGTATCCTAATCTGGTTATTGACACATTTAGAAAACGGAGAATTGAATAATTATTTAAGTTTGGGTGACAGTTGAATAAAAGTTATTTTTGAGGATATTGTGTAAATTAGATACGAAACCAGAGCTGAACTACGCACAAAGGACATGTATAGATGTGAAATTGAATGACAGAAATGTAAACAACATGCAATAAAGCTTGGATAACACTTTATGCAAATAAACAAATTTGGGAACAACAGCCTTCAAATCCAACCCTCAGATCCAAGTATTGACCAAACCACAACAACCAAACGATCCAGCAATTCAGTCAGTCTGCTACAATGTAGGACCAGGCACATATATGCATAGGTCCAAGTCGCCATACCTCATTGACACAACAAGATGAACACCGGATTCATAGAACTAGTTACTTCAATGGTAGTAATATATAGAAGAAACATTGCATATAAGGATGTAGTACAGAAACAAAGAATTAGTTCGTAGAAAGAAAGATAAGAAGCGATTTTAATCTCTTAGTTTAAGGGAAGACAGAGAGTGTATACACCGACTCCATTGTGATCGATTCTGAGCCAAGTCACCAAGAGTCTCTAACCACTGGTTACGACAGTCATGCGGACCCCAACCAAGTAGTCTGCATCCCGCGACATGGCTCAGACTAGAAGTTAGTGACTTCAATCAATTAATCAAAATGAGTATACATGACAGGACATTTTGTGTCGTTTGTCAAACAACTTAAACAGATCAACAGGAACTCGTCAGTATGATGCACTTGTAATTACTTATGAAGTCTAATTAATATCGCAGTTACAAATATCACTGCAAAGCTATCAATGTCATTAAAATCAATTAATTTTCACGAATTGATATATTGATAAGCTTTGTAAATCACTTCACGTACATACTTATGTTTCTATCAGTCATAGAATCCACAAATCTAATTATTTCTGAGCTTATATTCATGGCTTAAATAAAAAAATTATGCTCCGAAGCTAGATGGATCAAATCTAATGACCTTTGACCTATTTAAATATGATATGAACAACTAAACTGATTATTTAGCTTACTGACTTCAGATAATTTTAATCTGAATTAACATATGAAATTTTACTTATGACTGTTACTCCTCATGGAGGAGAATAGACTGCTTAACAAAATTTTCCATCCAACTCTATCCTAGGCAATCCTATCCAGTTGTTTACAGTTGCTATTGAACTTTTGCATGTTTGATCCAGATTCTTTAACAATCAATATATATTTTTAATTGAGAACATGAACCAATTGATGTTAGATAGACCACCACAATTGAAAACCTGGAAGCACTGGACGGTCGTTTCGTCCTATTGTGGGACTCCTCAGCAATAATCAATATATACTTGTTTTATGAAATCATAATATCTGATATTTAAAAAACTCATGCATCTCAAAGAGAACTAAGTAGCTATTTCATTTCAATCTCAAACATTTTAAACATATATATACTCACTATTTTAAATCGAATTGTGGATAACAAGATGAGGGTAAGTCAGATAACCGTAAATGATAGATGATTAACATTAAGTTATACTGAAAATTCGCTAAATTTGAAAAAAGAAAAAGAAAGAACGATTAAATATTAACTGAATAATGAAGTAGCATTGTATTTTGTAACGAAGATTAATTGCCTCAGGTTAGGGGTATACACTGTTGAAGAAAGTGCCTTTTTGGCGATTATTACTTTGAAATAGTTCTTTAAATTATATTGGTTTGAATAATCCAGTAAGATGACGAAGGTTATCGGAATTATGTGAAAGGTGAATAAAATCACAAAAATAAATAAAAATCTTAAATTAAATCAGAATGAGGATTTATGAAGATTGTAGTAATTTTAATATTTGATTTCGATTACCTTCTAGTGCCAGACTCCTCAGTAGTGGGAATCCACGATCTTGCATGCGAGACTTGAGTCCAGGACCTTCAATGTCGTGCGTAAACGCTCAACCTCCAGACCATTGAGCCGGTATTAAAGAGTGTTAATATCAAACCTCAACCAATCCACGATATTGCGCGACCGTCCACCACTGTTTTCATTGAGTAACTAGCTCACAACAAACATGGCTGAACTCCACTGGTCACAGCTTCTCACTAGAAACCCACCTTGAAGCCAGTAACTAGTGAGCACATGATGATTATTATCAGAATGGGGGTTCGTGGAGGTAGCAGTAATTTTAATAGTTGGGTGCTCACTGCTGAGGTGTCCCGCACTAGGACGAAACGGCCATCCATCGCTTCCAACTGTTCAATGGTAGTCTAGCTTAAATCGATTCATGGATTCGACCTATGTTAAATCTTTGGAAATTCGAAAAGTTCCGTAAGTCTCATTGAGTGAATAACTGTTGAGATATTTTAGATACACTTACACGCTGACACTTAAAATAACTGAGAAAAATTCCACGTTCTAAGTATCCAACAGCTTTTGTGCTAGAAATGAGCACACTACTTTTCTTAACATTAAAACTACTATTACGGGTAACACTTTATCCAAAGCATGAATAACAGTGCGTATTGTTCAAAGTTAAATGTATTGTTTCAAAATAATTTCACATAATCCAATAATCTATTAAATATCAAGTGATGTTGAATAACGTTTTCCTCACTCTCTGTTAGAAAGGCCTCAAATCATAGAGTTTTTTTAATTTTCGTTAAAAAATTATATCAGGACCTCGGCAACTCCTAATTTCTATTAGTACGCTGACTTTTTCTACAAATGATCTGATTGATAGTCTTTTCTTATGGCTTGTTATTTTGCTATATGTTCCCAAGGTTATCGTCCTTACCCTGTAAACAAAACTATTGTATTCGAAATTGACTTTTGCTGGGAATATTGAAACTCTCCTAAAACTCAGTCTTCTCTCTTTCCTTTATTCGTGTGTGGACCGAAGTGTCATTGAGTAATATTGATACGATTTGTCTAGTTCGTTTAGACCCCTTCTCTTATAATCCCATTCAATTTACAGTTTATATATTTATTATAGCTTATAACGGATAAGAGTGAAAAATCGCTGATTGCTTTGTGATATGAATCTTTACTTTTAACTATTTATTTTGATGATTGATCAGTAACTCATAATCATACTATTTTCATTGAATATAATGTACGGAAACGATTGTTAAAATTCCCAATTATGTATGAATATATGCAAGTAACCAATCAGTTAGTCAAGCAGTCTTGTCTCCCAGATTATATTCTGTGAGAATTTTTGATAAAATGAAAAAAGTACTTAATATGATACCTCTATTCAATCTAGAATTCGAGGAACTCCAATTTATCTGTGGCGCTGGGTTTTTTTCAGTGACTCCCTTTCTAGTTCAAATTGTCCAAAAAGACGAACATAGCTAATAGCTTCTTTGACAAAACGTACAAGAATGTATAAAAGAGTTACTGAACAATACGTTTTTTCAATGAGTAAAGACATTTGGTAGAACCCAATTATCACAATAGGAAAAATATTTCTATCAGTCAAGACAACAAGTACAAGGATGAGATTGTTCATTTTGCTACAAATATGACATCAATATCTATCAACCATAAATATTCTATAAAAAAAGAACAAACAAGAAAGGTGCTTAAATTTCAGTAATATAGAACAAAATCAATCAGTTCACATAGTCGAAATATAAACAAAGTGATTCAATATCTCAACCGCTTCTAAGTAAAGTTATTTTAACCAAAGAAAGTTCACAACACAGATGAGTTTTAGTCAGTTTTAGAACTTGTCAACACTTTAATACCATGTTGGTTTCATTTCGATAATGCAATAAGAAGACGTAGTGTATCAGAATTATGTGATATATTTGTGTAATACATTTCGAACAATCTGATCACATCTATACTTGTTAAGACATTTTTATATAAAAATTAAAAGGTCAACTAGACAGGTTAAAGGTAAGAAATAATAATAATATAGTACACAAAAACAATGTGATTAACAGTCTGGATAATAAATCAGTATTACCACGGTAGGTTAAGTGTAAGGACAAACTGTTTTTGGACACATAAAAGTGGTTTCAATTTTCGTATAGCCAAGGCTTCAATAAAACTTAGTATACGTCCGTGAAAGCTTTTGAATAACATTACAAATGCTGATTTGATATCAACCTTATTGACTAGTTTCAATCAAATGTTAACTTCAAACAAATCATAAAGTATGAATGTAATATATGTAAGTATAGAAGGATTATAGGCAAAGTATTACTTACAAAGAGAAACAAAGAAATTTCGTTACATAGAATCCATATATATAAGAATTGTTTTACAGCCTCTGAAAATATCCTCCTGAGTTACAAATCTTCTTAATTACTTTCGAGTCAGCCCCCCCCCCCCAATACAATGTTACACTTTAGTTTTACACAAGATAGTTTTTATCAACTTTAACATTATTTTAATAGAACAGAATACATTATACAACTGTTTCTAAGGCATATTATTATTATTAAATGTAGGTTTTTACAAAATGATCGAAACTATTCATTCTTTATTTTTGTTAACTTGTAGATTGATTCTTATTGATAAACGTTTTTGTGCTTCAGTATATTGTTCATTATATTTCATAGGCATATGAGATTCAATGTCTATTAGATCATCAATTAATTTTGATATAGAATTTGATGTAATCACTGGACATGTCATTCTTGATGACGATGATGCTGATGACAACGACGACGACGACGATGATGATGATGATGATGATACGTTGGATGATTTCATTGACATTGTAAAAGAAGTTGAAGTAAAAGAATGAATGAAATTTTCATTTATTGAAATTTGATTACGTAAATTCACCATGAAATAACATAAATACTCAAAGAAATAATCCATTAAAACATGTAATTCCGATATAAATATTTCTAAATCGATATTTGAATTCATCAAGTTATTATTATCATTATATTCAACAACTATTCGATCGTTTATAATATTTGATATATATGATTTTCTTGATTCACATATTTCAACCATTATGTTGGATATCTATTGTTAAATTAGAATAAATAATGAAAAACAAAGAGATATTCATTCGCCGAGATTTTACAAATACATTCTCCCTTTTTAGATGGTGGTTGGAGGTAGTCAACAGGAAACCCTGGACCCGGGCTTCGTGCTATTTGGCACTCGTCAGCAAGGTGTACCTGTAATCTTGAGGGAACTGGTGCTCCCTGGCGGATTCGATCTCGTGTCACACAGCTTCACAGTCAGAGACGTTACCACTGAGCAATCCGAGCCGTGACTAACCTCCTGTAGGACTGAGATGTAATTACAATTGATTGATCGCTGGGTGGTGATCACCATCTAAATCTCAATACATAGTGCCCGCAGTGTCGAGTCACCTAGACTGGTGACCACATTGCAACATGATCGATAGCATTCGATCTGCACTAATAAGGACTAGACAAACAAGACATTGATCACCACCCAGTGATCAATCAATTGTAACATTCTCCCTTTTTAATGTCTCACATCAACTCGATGCCGAAATACCATGAAACTATTCAATCCAATTTAGGCGAAAGTTCTTATATATTAATCAAACTTGATAGTATTTTTCTTAGTGAGAAATTCATATCAATTAATTAGAACAATTGTTTCGTTTGATTCTGAACCTTTGCAGTAAATGAATGATTCTCATGATAAGAATATCATCTTATCAGATGATAAAAGCTAAGAGTTCCAGTGTGAAAACCAGCATTGAAATACATGTAGACTCAACTGACGAATCACAAATAGAACGAAAAGCCTATTACATATAGAGTACAGGTATCAAAATTCAATTCTGAATATCAACAACACTGTGATTGAAACTCTTACTATTAATGATATAAACATCAGTTGATGAACATGTAAACTCAGTGGATAACACTTTGATAAATTTACATTAACCTAAGAGGTCCTAAATAGAACAGAATACACGTTTTGCATGGCACTACCTGGTTGGCGTTATCCATCGACTCTAAATATTATTTTCTCTTTGTCATTAATAATAAATCTATCAGTTCTGCAATTTTATGTTTTCATAGAGTTAATCGACCATAATAATTCTCAGTTTACTAAAACCACTCCAAACAGGACGAAATTCGCGTCTAGTATTCCACTGCAAGCCAATATTCACTCCTACTTACAATACTTCTAACTTAATGGATATATCGAAGCAATTCACACAGGATGCATATATTGATTGAACAATTACAATCTTAAACGTCAATGGGTAGATTTAAACAACTAATATAAATGAATTAGAACAATAAATGGTTAAATCAGTGGTCATAAATACTTTTATCATTATCATGCATAATTCGCGTGATGAATATACAAATAAAATGTTCGGTCACATTGTACAATCATTTATAAATCTCAGTAAGTTCACAACTAGGGATTCTTTTAAATTCATAACGGAATAATGAATTGACAGGTCGTTGACTATTATTTCCATTCAGTAAAATAATATGAAAGTAATGCATAACTCAAAAGAGAGGTCACATTTTGGCGCATATATAAGACAATGTACCATAGAATAGTCATCAGATGAATAATCATTTAGGAGATACAATCGTCTTTTTATCATTGGGGAGCAATTACTCATTTCATATTATTTTCATCAATTAATGTCAATACAGGGAATCAGCCTAGTTTCTGGTGTGATCGCTGACATTATTATGTAAGAATAGTAAATCGACTTCAAAAAGAATAAAATCATTTTCCTGACTGAATACTAATTATTGGCTCAATTATTTGGTAATTTAACTAGAAATTATCTTCCAAATATTTCTTGAAGAATTGTTGTATATAATCGTCTGCAACTTGGAAGTAAATATTGATTATGATAGCTAACAAATATATTCTATGCTTGAACATTAAATGATCGCTTTTATTCATTTCTTGGATGATTTGCAAATGATTTTTGCTCTAATTTACCCCTTTCTTTTCAGTTTTATTTCCTATGTTGCGGTGGTCTTACTAAAATCTCACTAGTAATCCTATAAAGCCCGTTACTGCTGTTCAATTTGGTGTTCCTGATGACTCATAAACAATATCCTCCTTAAATTTGCATGAAATCTCAATAATACTGCATTATCACAAAGCAGCAGCCTCAGCAGCAGTAGGTCTTAATATACACAAAGGGAAAAGCGTGATTCTCCGATACAACACAGCATGCACCAATCCAATCACAATTGACGGAGAAGATTTGGAAGATGTAAAAACCTTTACATGTCTGAGCAATATCATTGATGAACACGGTGGATCTGATGCAGATGCGAAGGCGTTGATCGGAAAAGTAAGAGCAGCATATTTACAATTGAAGAACATCTGAAACTCAAAACAACTGTCTGTCAACCAAACAACACCAAGTTCAAAATTTTCAATACAAATGTCAAGACAGTCCTACTATATGTGGTGGAAATCTGGAGAACCACGAAAGTCATCATCCAGAAGATACACGTTTTTATTAACAGTCGTCTACACAAAATACTTCAGATGCATTGACCAGACACTATCAGCAACAACCTACTATGGGAGAGAACAAACCAGATTCCAGTGGAGGAAGAAATCAAGAAGAACTGCTGGAAGTGGATAGGACACATATTGAGGAAACTACAGAACTGCGTCACAAGACAAGCCTTCACATGGAATCCTCAAGAGGAGGAGAGGAATACCAAAGAACACATTACGCCGAGAAATGGAAATAGACATGAGAAAAATGAACAAGAATTGGATGGAACTAGTAAAGAAGGCCCAGGACAGAGTGGGTTGGAGAATGCTGGTCTGCGGCCTATGCTCCATTAGGAGTAACAGGCGTAAGTAAGTAAGTAAGTAAGTAAGAATATGCAGTTAATTAAGTATCGGATTCAAAATACAATAGAGCTCTAATGAACCAGAAGAGATCTATTATACTCCAGTTCACGTGTCCGTGTATCAATCCTTTGGGAAGCTTAAGGTGACTAGACTCATAAAATAGGACTAGTATTGAACACATCGGAACTTTTTGGAATATCTTACGGATAGTTATTATCCATATTTCCATTGTCCAACTAAACTATTATGGTTCTCGATTCCTGTTATCGTAAGCTCTCATTAAAGATAATGATTGTTGCTACACTTTTTTCATTCCTAAATCATGGTTAGTCAATTTTTCACGACTTGCCCTGTTCATTGCCACCTTTTAGCTTGTTTATATATAAACGGCGACTTTTATTTTGTGGGGTGATGCTTACCTTGACATCTGTAAATAGACGCGTGTATGTTCGAATTATGTTATTACAAGCTTTACCTACTGTATTTTAATATCTGGACTCAAAACTGGCATCAGAAGAATCAAGATTATCTCACCAGTCCTCAAGGTTATTCGTACTAGACTTAGCGTCTCAGTGGCCAAGTTAAGTAATCAATCGATAGATGGACTAACGTACTAGAGATCGAGAAGAATAAATTAAGATTTCGACTGATGCGTTTCCACTCTGGCTATTGGTTAAGGGGATACAGACTAGCGAGCGCTATAATGCAAAGGAATTTTCAGAAATTGACAGTCACTATCTCAGGACATTCAAGTTTCACAGTGAACCCGTTACCTTTAGACTATTGAGTTGATGTACAGTCGTATACTTCTATAACGCTAACCAACTATCTATATGGAATACAATCACCCAACAACGTTATTGGGTAACTGTTTTACATCAATCATGGCCGAAATTCCCCAGTCATGATCTTTTGATAAAACTTTAAAAATCTTGAAACTAGTCACTAGTGAGTGTACGATTTCTGATTGATAGATATAATTTATCAAAATCAATTGAAGTGGAATTTAGATTTCCTCACAGATTGATATCAGTTGAAGAAGTATTTTGGAAAAATAGGCAAAACTGAACAAAAGTTTCATCTTGGTATGGAACTCCTCAGAGGTTATCAATCTGATGTGTGGGCTAGAATGATAATGATTGGTTGTTTGCTTAGTCTGATAGGTACTAGATGAGTTATATATTCTCTTACCCGTATTATTATTGTGATTGTTATTGGTTTTTGGTGCACATATATACTTACTTAGGCTAATCATGTGTCCTTGATTTGTGTTGTGTTGAAGTTTTGTAGAATAGACACTTGAAGGGTATCTAGTGTAGATATTCGTCTAAGGCAAATTAACTTCCCATTCGTGTAAACAACGAAAACCGAGCGTTATAATACAACCTTCACAAACCTCCTAATAAAATCCCATTACAGTTTTTGTGTTTTGTATGTATAATGCTTGGTGTATGAGGCGAGAATATCACACATATGATTGTGTATATGATCATGGATACTTTTCCTGTCTGTAAAATTCATCATTTTACTGAATAATTAGTCAGAAACTCCGGATTTTTATTGATTCTTCAGTAGATGTCAGTTTATAATATATCTTCCAATTAACTAAATACTTCGTAAACTGTTTTTACGAATAATTTGTTGTGTCAGTTATTATGTTAAGCTCATATACTTCATTCTAGGTTTCGGACAGAGCATTTCATTCATTCTATTTGAGTCACATTCTGACCTTGTTATTTATTCGATTATCAATCTTGACTATTTTTATATGAGCGCATAGGTGTGTGTACACTTCTTATCCCATTTACTCATCACATGTCTGTAACTTACTTTTGTGTAACTATAAATATTGATTAACGCTTGGTCATATGGGAGTTGGCTTACCAGCCATCTCCACTCTGTGTCGTTTCTCTTCTCTCTATTCCATTCGCTTCATATACAAAATATATGTATTCACAAATCAATTCTCGTTATTCGACTTATTTAATTCCGTTATTGGCTAACGCGATTAAGTCGATGATTATATACGAGAGTAGGCGATATATATAATTCAACAACAATCATCATTACAATCTCCTTGGAGTCGTATCACGTTCCACTAAAGTGGAGAGCTCTTTCGACAACATCATTCGATCTAAACGACAACAAAATTACAGGCCTCCACACAAAAAATATTCAATAGATATCAATTAATATTATCGGAATAATTAGTAAATATTAAATAGCCTAAATCAATAAATATAACTTTGATTACCTTGAATATGTAGTATACAATTGGTATTCCATTACTATTTTGATTTCTATATTTTAATATATTTTCAATGATAAAATTCATTTGATTATTTTCATTTTTAATGATTGTATATAACCATTTTAATTGATTAATTAAATGATCATAAAAATGATAATTTTCATTAATCACTTGAATTAAACGATTCAAACGATAATAATAAGTAAGTTCTGATAAAGTAGGTTTTTTAAAAGTTAATTCAATCTAAAATTCAATAAACAATATTTTAAAGTAAATTGATTAATTAGTAATGGAAGATTATATATATATAGATTGACTGATCTCTGAGTACTGACCAGTGTCATTTTGTCGATTAGTTAAAGCTAATAGAATTCTATTCTTATTGTTACATTCTAATCACTTGTGGTAGTCGGTATTCCATATAATCCTTAAACTTCGTATACAGTTCTTCTTGATAATCGTCACTAGATAACGCCCACAACGGTATATTAATCAGAAGGTGAATACGAATTGTTGATTATGTTTATTACGGGACCACACACAGATATCCAAAATTACAGGTGCGTCAAACAAGCATGAAAGAGTTGTGCCGAAAGGCAAGCAGGCAAGAGAACAAGCGAGTGAGTCAGCGAATATGAGTACGAGTAAGCGAGTACAATTAAGCGAGATAGAGCAATGAACATGAATAACATGGACATATATATACATAGTGAAATGAATGAATCATCGAATCAATTAAGCGGTTAGTAGTAAGACTAGTAGCGTTAATAAATGCATAGGCAGTAAGCAATGCTCAAGCATACATGTTTATACTTTCGCAACAATAATAAAGATACTATGATATAGATAAGTTGTTGTTGTACGGATGACTCCAGTTCGTTAATAAGTTAACAGAATGACTTAACGAATTAAATGTGAACCAACTCAATTGCGGATGAGTTGCTATACACTAATCTAGATGGTGAGACACCGCATTCACTAAGTAATAGTTCTTGTATGTGAAAGCTAATTCACTGACTTCTAAACCGATTATTATTACTAAGAAATCTCTTACTCTTGAACAGTAAAAAGAAAACAAAAGACTGGAAGTATGGAAGAAGCATTACTTAGTTTGTGCATACAAAAAAGGAAATGTATTTACAGGATTATATGTGACCATTTAATTCGAGAAACTCCTGAAAAATGTGCTAAAATTTGTAGTTTTCTAGCGTAAATAGTAAAAACCTAATTCTTCCCCTGCAAGTTTCCAGAGAACTCTGATTGGACAAGATATTTTCGGTATTTTTTTGGATTTTTGATAGCTTTATCAGCAATTGTCCTGGTCTTCGAACATTAAGTTCCAATGTTACGTGATCGATAGTAATCAGCAGAAAACCCTGGAATTAAGTCACATGTACTATGCACTCACCAAGGATATAACAGGTATGGAATCATCCTAGTTTCTGAGAGTAATTTAGTACAGAATTGTATTGCATCGTGGAGCTATTCACCACTATCTTCACAAAACCCTGCACTGACAATAGTCATCTGCTCATTAGTGATTTGCTTAAAGATCTGATGCATAGAGTTCTAGCGAGAAGCTATGACTAATGAAGCCTAACTGTATCGAGTATCAGACAGTTACCTACTTCATGGAATGCAGATGGTCGTCCACTACAGCGAATTGAATAAGATTAAACGTGTACACCATTGGATGCAAGCTCAGTAATCTAGAAGTGAGACACTTTTATGCGAGACTGAAAGTTTTGAATTTGATTCATTATAGTGAGGTAGTAGATCCACATTGCTAAAGGATCCCAACCTAGGACGAGACGGATGTATATGGCTTTATAGTTCTTAGTGGCGGTCTAATTAAGATGAGTTTGTGATCGGAATCCTATAATCTCAACAATGCCTCCATGAAATATTTCTGTGCAGATCTCAGGAAGTTGTCATCCTGATTATTATTAAAAGGTAGAGAAAAGAAAATAATAAAACGGGAATAGCTACTCTCTAATGGTGAATCAACTGATATAATTTTACTGAGTATTTTTCATTTAATCATTTTATGACAATTTTGAACTGGAATTAACATCAACTATGTGTTATGAACACATTCAATGTAGTCCAGTTCGAAATGAAATTATTAAAATTACAGTCTAATATTGTAAAACTTATTCACTGAGAGAACTGGAAATAACCAAAAATGATGAATACAGCACACGAATTAAGCATGAAGACATTGAGGATAATCTTAATCATCAGCTTATTATAAGTAAATGACTAAATTTAAATAGAATATTTTCTAGTTGTAAACTAATCGGCATTTATGAATTGTTGCATGTTATAGTCCAGTGCTTTACCTGTTTGTGTCATCACGTGAACTGATCATAATGAAAATAAAAGTACTCGTGACTACCGTTTTACCACTTATTGATCTGTTTAAAGGGAAATTTCTTTTTTAAATATTGAAAATCAGCATAAACTATCAATCATTGCTTACAAATAGCTTGTGAATTAAGGTAATATCGAGGCATACGCACAGTATGTACATATGCCAATAACAGACTGATCAATTGCAGTCTTAAACTTCAATAGGAAGATACAAGCCAAACAATACCAAGTGAATTCAAATTCACCCCATTGCACAAGCAAGTGGCTATCAGGATTCAGTAGCTGAGTGGATAACGCAATGGCGTTTGAAGCGAATGGTACTGGGTTTGAGTCCAAGAAAGAACATCAACCCTGAGATGCAGGTACATCCAACTGACGAGTCCCAAATAGGACGAAACGTGCGTCCTGGATTCCACTGCTAGCCATTGCTTACAAATAGCTTGTGAATTAAGATAATATCGAGGCATACGCACAGTATGTACCTATACCAATAACAGACTGATCAATTGCAGTCTTAAACCTCAATAGGAAGATATAAGCCAAACAATACGAAGTAAAATAACATTGTTGTTCGATTTACTGTAAGCAATATAAACTACATAAATTATATGACTTATTACAATTTTTGTTGTTGTAAACTTATAAAGATAACTAATGATAATTCAAAGCTTACATGATTGAATAAAATTACATAACAGTCTCTAAATAGGTTATTTATAAATCAATCATGTACAGCATGTTTCTTTAATGATTAAACAGTGAATAGTAATCAATAGTAAATTTGTTTGATCATTTTTAGTAATGATCAAATTCTATGAATCAAATTGTGATCTGGTTACTAGTCTATACAACTCAATATCACATTCATCATATTTTGACATTATATAGTGAATCGATAGTGATCAGTAGAAAACATTGGATATAGGTTTTATGTTAGTTAACCATCATTAATAAAGTATATTCTAGTGTTTATACTTGGATTACTGAAAAAACCCAATCGTGATGAAACGTAGGTGTTTTGATCATTGTCTACTAAATTCATCTTAAAATAAATTTTAATAACCAGCTTTATACAAGTAGGTATCAGAAGGGGTTTGTGGAGATTTTAGAAATTTCACAGATTGGAATCATGAGTTAATTGAAGCTAGACCACCATGAAAAACCTGGAAGCACTGGATTTCAATCTGTGAAATTTCTAAAATCTCCACAAACCCCTTCTGATAATAATCATCTGCTCACTAGTGACTGACTTCAAGAGATACTCCTGGAGTTCTAGTGAGAAGCCGTTACCAGTGGAATTCAACCAGGTCTGTTGTGAGATATCAACTCACTGAAGACAATGGTGTACGGTGGTGCAACTTCGTGGATTGGTTGAAGTTAGACAATAACACCATTTGATGCCAGCCGGCTCAGTGATCTAGTTGATTAAGCGCCTGGCACGAGACTGATAGGTCCTGGGTTCGAATCTCGCAGGGCGCGGGGTCGTGGATGCGCACTGTTGATGAGTCCCATATACTAGGACGAAATGGCCATCCAGTGCTTCCAGGTTTCCCATTGTGGTCTAGCTTCAATTGACTAATGATTTCAGTCTGACAATTGGGTATCTTGGGAAGAGAGAGGTAGAATTTTATTTATTCAGCTTTTGAAAGTTGACTTAATGACTATCCAAGTATTTAAGATAAAAGAAATATTGTACCTAAACTTATAGATGAGTATATTGTCTAATATGTTACTAAACAATTACAATTCATTGTATTCCTTTTTTTTCATTTTAGTAACGAATCTTTAGGAAGAAGTACAATATATATATAACCTGGTAAGTTAGTTATATATGTTAACTAAAGTAGCTAACCTGTTGATTTTATAAATTGTATACTTGCATCAAATTATTGCTTAAATAATGGTAACTACTGATGGACCAGCACATCCTAATTTATCTATTAATCGGACATTTAAAACAATGTAGAACTTTATATTATTTTGATGAATTGTAAATCAGTGTTTGCATACATAAATAAATCTTCATTGACAGTCTTACTTTCTTTATCTCATTGAACTATATCAAGCTTATTCCATTGAACCAGTAGCAGAAAATAGTTATTTCTCAGTTATAACAAGTAACCATTGCATTAGCAAAATTAGAATTTCGTTTAAGACATAACACAAATATTTACCGTCTATTTTTAAATTAGTTAATTATTTGTTTAATTGTTAATTATTTTTGTGAGGAATCATCGATAATCCCTTGGACGTGTTTTCATAAGTTGGGGATAAACTGAAAATACTTTCTCTAATCACAGTTTAACAGGTACTTCACGGAAAGTTCCAGAAAATCGATAAATTGTTAGTCATCTACTACTTAGATAATTACCGCTTTCGAGACTAATTGCAGTATCCTTCCAGAGCCTTCTAGAATATCTAGATGGAGGATAAACCTGAGGCGGCCCGAGGATCTGACTCCATTTCGGATTGTATGAATGTTTGCTATCACCTATTTTCGTATATCATCGTCGACTTAGATCGCGTTATCCAATAACGGAATTTAGATAAGTCAATTAACGAGAATGGCCTTTGAATACATATATTTCTTAAGTAAAGTGAATGTAATAGAACAGAGCAAAACGACACGCGTGGAAGATGGCTGCGATGCCAACTCCATTTCAAGCTAGGGATTACTCAATATTTATAGGCAGACAAAATAAACTACAGATATGTGATGAGTCATGAAGTGTACACACATACGCTCATATAAAAAACAGTCAAGGTTAATAAGCAAATAATTAACAAGGTCAAAATATGACTCAAGCAGAATGAATAGAATGAAATGTCCGAAAACTAGAATAAGATATATTATGGGCTAAAACTTATGA